GACATATTTAAACGACCTATCTAAGGGCCACACAATCATAACAGGGTGTGTCTTGTAAAGTTCCTAGGTCACTGTGAGCACTAAACAAATATTTTCCAAATGCTGTTTTTAGGAAGGATAAAAGATGGAAACAAAAACTTGTCATCCAGCGTAACTAGGGTGAATTTAGGGAGACTTCCTTGGCTAAAACATAGTGTTTATTTTCAAATGAGGAGAGAGAAAAAAGCACCCAGACTTGTCCCTGGTGAAGTACACCTTCCATTTGTATGTTTTCTGATAGTGAAATCGATCCATGGATGTGCTTCATTCCATGTTATTTAGGCAACCATGAAAGGTAATTCTCCACAGAGCACTGGATCAAAAGCAGAGACCAGATTCTGGCCCCAAACCCAGCCCATTTGAAACAAGCTGCTTGGTCTCTCCCGCAGACACTTTGCCAACAACATCACGTGCCTCCGCAGGAGAATGAGGAGTCCCAAGCTAGCCTATACTCTTGCACAATCACAATTGTGTGTCAAGGAAGAAATTTCAGAGACTCAAGGGCAATCACGATGGGGTAAGGTAATTACTTCTAGTGGAAAACTGTGTCCTTGAAAAGAGGCTTGGAAGCGATCGAAAGTCAGGAGGGTTCCTGCAAACACACCAAGAATGTGTAATCTAGCCGATCCATTGTATGCCCTTTATTATTCATGATACCCTATTTCTTCTACCCTGTTGTCGGGTTACTTTTTCTGAGGACTGAATTTCCGCAGTGATGTGGTATACTCTTCTTATGATGTGGAAACATCTAGGCCTTACTCTGCAGGCTCTGGAAGATGATGTGTCTTGTCAAGGGGTAAATAGCCAATGGATTTAATTTCTACTTAAATCTATCATAGTCATTCCAAAATAAAATACGTACAAGTGTTCTGTATTAGAAGAAGAAACGTGATACCAACTGTATATTTTTCTTTTCTTTATTTATTCTCTATATGTCTGTCAGATGATAAATTGTAAATAACAGTGATTAAAGAGTCATGCTACTGATGGATCCTCCTTTCTGTGTAAACAGCGTCGATTCTGGGTTCTGCTACCCTTCCTCTTTATATCCTTAAATTATCTCTGGAGAAGTGATGGGGTGGAGGGCAGAGCGGGTGTATGTGATGTGGATGTCTGTTTTCTGGGGGTACCCAGCAGAGGGTTACCTATATAGGCCTTTAACAAATTATCTGACTATGGAGAGGCTAGCATGTTGGTGTCTGGTATATCCAAACATACTAGAGATGGGATTTTCTGTCCTCACATTAATTACTTCAATTCCAGGAAATCTAGACTAAAATTAAGTGGAACTCCTTTATTATTATTACTACAGAGTTCTCTCGTTTGATACACAGAGATCCCTTCTAAATCCAAATATGTGCGGACTGCCCACGCATGCCCCAAATCACGAAAACTATGAACAACCCAAGTGCAGACTCACTTTGCATAAGAGAGATTAGAATGAAACTACCCCAAACAACACATTTCTTACCCGGTCCCTGAAGAATAAGCTATACTTTCAGTTTTCTGAAAATATTTCAGTGTTTCTGAGTTCTCTGAGCATATTTTCCACCAGCAGTGGTGACGGTAGATGAGGGAATGGATGTAAATTGTCATAGAAAAGTCAGGGGACTCACAAATGCATATTCTGAGTCAAATTCAAGTTTGACTGTGGGACTAAGAGCCAGGGATTCATGCAGCTGGGGGGTGGGGTGTAGGAGATGACGGGAAACAAAGACCACAGAGATGTTCAAAGAGGTACTGTTCTATTAACATCTATTTCCAGTGTCTAAAAAGTAGATAGAAGTGCTAAACACCTGCATATACGTGAAATGGCATGGACAGGCTATGCATGCATCTGAATATGGGAGTTGTTACTAAGGACAGATTATGTCTCCTCTATGCATGGAATAACAACTTGATGGACTCTGTATTCTGTAAAGAGTTGAGGACTTGCAAACTGCTTTATCTCCATTTATAATTTTAGATTCATTTCATATTTGAAAAAAAGTATGCATACTTATATCTTCTGGTCTTTGAGTTACACAAAACACTAATTTCTTAGGTATGGGCAGCACATGACCTCTTACCAGCTAATGAATAAGATGGAATCCCACTTCTGTAGCAATTTTGGGCCAGGCAGGATATATAAGGATTTAAGGGAATATGGATAAAAGAGATGTCCAGGAAGAAGCTATTTGGCCCAGTTGGAAACGGGGCCATGTCCATGCCATTTCACATATATGCAGATGTTTATCACTTATATCTACTATTCTTTTGCCCCTGTTTTTGAACTAGAGGGAACTGAAAATAGGCTTGGCGCCTGTGGCTCAAGCGGCTAAGGTGCCAGCCACATACACCTAAGGTGGCAGGTTCGAATCCAGCCTGGACCTGCCAAACAACAATAATGGCTGCAACCAAAAATAGCTGGGCGTTATGGCGGGCGCCTGTGGTCTCAGCTACTTGGGAGGCTGAGGCAGGAGACTCGCTTGAGCCCAGGAGTTGGAGGTTACTGTGAGCAGTGAAGCCATGGCACTCTACCCAGGGGCTCAGCTTGAGGCTCTGTCTCAAAAAAAAAGAACTGAAAATAGAACTTTGTTATGGGCATTAAAAATACCTTCACTGGTTCTTGTCTACTTATGGACCATTTTAGTTACCATAAAAGGAACCAGAGCTCTGTTTCAGGGCTTAGGGTGGAGGCAAATTTATTATACAAAGTAGTAAACAGACAATCAAAGGGGGAGTTATTACACTTACTATTCCAATCATGGGGCCAAGGCTGGTGAGGGATGGACGGGATCGTTGTGTACCACATTGTTTCTCTGGTTTCTAGGAAAACAGAACGGTCCCATGAACAACAAAAGATGAATATTTGGGGAGGATGAAAATCATACTTACCCGTCACCTATCCATAAAAACATACTACAACTGTTATTGAGATGTGCCCTACATGTGATACAATATTTTGAAAATACAAAATTAGATGACTTCTGTTGTGAACAGAGTTCTCTTTTCCGTCTCTCTCTGACACTTCTAATAGTACAGCCCATCTTTTAGAGGTCACAACACCTTTAAAGCAGTCACTTTAGTTGAAAAGAAAGAAGAGACCAAAGTTTCCTCACCTGACTTGGATAGAAATCACAGTAAAAGAAAAGATGGCTGGTCCCCCTCTGAAGTCTTCTGGACTTTGCTTATTTCAGTCACCCCAAGATTATGGTTATGCTGATGAACCTCCAGCTGGGGTGTCCAAACATATTTCTTCTCTGCTGCACATGGGAAGAAGAGTTGTCTTGGGCCACACATTAAATACACAAACACTAACGAAAGCTGTTGAGCAAAAGAAGGTCAGTGTATAATTTTCACAATATCCAGCACCACAGGTAAACAAAATAGTAATCTCCTCTCTCAATCTATCTCTCTTCTCTGTTGCACATGGGAAGAGCTGTCTTGGGCCACATGTTAAATACACAAACACTAACAAAAGCATTGAGCAAAAGAAGGTCAGTGTATAATTTTCACAATATCCAGCACCACAGGTAAAATAGTAATCTCCTCTCTCAATCTGTCTCTCCTCTCTCAATCCCTTCACATATAATCTCTGAGCATCAGGACATTTTAAAGGAAGCTTTTGGGTCTAATTTCATACCAGGATTTTCAGAAAATAGAGTTAAATTGTAGTCTTAAATAGTTGAAAGTGGGGTAAGGGTAGGAGCTGAATTCCACTTTCATGATAAAGAAATTTTATTTAGAAACGTAATGTTCAAATCATCAGATTCGTTCTTTCTTGGTATTTCTAACTTTTCTTGGTAAAAAAAATAAATGATGACTAAACTTGTTGGTGTTATTAGTCAAAACCTCTAAAATCAAAAGCCAGTTTATCTCAGTTTATCTACTTATCTAACGGATCCTTGTTGTTTATGTGTAATTAAAAGCTTGAAAGAGGCCATGAAATAGATTAAAGAATGTTCAGTGGAGTTTGATATGATGCTGTTTTACCGAGTTTGAGCAGGGTCTGATGATGGTCCTGTCTAGAGTAAGCATTAGAAACTTTATAGCATTTTGGTAGAGTACTTTTATAGTATATATTGAATGTAACAAAAAGTGGGGCTTGTATTTTGTATGCTTTTTACTTTTCTAGTTACTCATGTATTTGTTCAACTTTTGTATTTTCTGAAAGCACCCACCTGGGATGTCTTGGAAGCACAGAATGAATCCTTCACCCCACAGAATTTGAGAGGCACTGTTGTAGATTACAGTACATTCTCAATATAGCAGAGAAGGAAGTTCTGAGACTCTCTGATTCCCTGCCACATTCCAAGTTTGACGATTTGGTAATTCGCGCGTGATTCCACATAATTTTTTTTTAATACAGTCCATGTTCATTTTTCCGAGGGGATTCTTTAGAAAGGGAGGGGGTCTGAGATCGGAAGCTGAGCTGTAAAGTGACCCGGGTGCCTGGGTCTATACTTCCAACAAGGAGTGGATCGCCTCTTGGCCTTTTGGCTAAGGTTATGCGCAAAAAGGAGTGAAAAACTAAATGTGTAAATCTCTGAACTTTAGTTCCTACATCCACACCTTTCCTCTGAAGTAAGCACCAATGCTAACAGCCTGAGGCCTTCCATAAGGAAGTGCCAACCAGAGGCACCAGGGCACAGACCCAGCGCCAGGGTGGGGAGCACGTCCTCTCCTGGAGGGACGCCGATCGCCGGCGGAGCCAGCGCAGAGCAAATCCACGCAGCGGACGGGAACCCGGAGGAAGGAGGCGGGGCCAGCGGGGAGAGGTTGCATTGGCTCAGGCCTCTCTGCGTCACGCGACTCCGCCCCTCGGCCTATCTCGCCCCATCCCCGCCCCGCGCCCCGGGCGGTAGCCTGGCTGCGTCGGGAGGCCGCTGCTCCCAGGCGATGACGCAAAGCGGGGCGGGGCGTGACTGCGCTCTGATTGGTGGAGATGCTAGTAAGCGCGGCCGGAGCGGGGACCCTGGAGTTACGGTCTCCAGAAAGCCGTGGTGAGTGCTGGCTTTACCGTCTGGCCTTGGGCGTTTGCGAAGATGCGGAAGGTGGTTTTGATCACCGGAGCGAGCAGGTGAGGCCTCCTTTGGGATGGGAGCGTTTCAGGGGTCCGAGGGTCTGCAACTCTGGGAGCACCGGCCCCTGTCATTGCCTAGGCTGGGACTCTGGTCAAGGCCCTGCCCTGCTGGGTCCGCCACTGCAGGAAGTGTGAGGCATGCTGGCCCTTGAAGTGCCCAGTAACTGGGGATTTGAATTAAACATGACCTTCTGATGTGGAAGGTCTTAAATAAGTTAGAATTGATACCCTGCGTTTGTTTGTTTTACACGTGATATGTGCCATTAATAGTCGTATTGAAAGCCAACTATCCTCCAGTGAGGTTGAATGAGCAGGTATTTTTGATGCTTAATTGGCAGGGCTGACAGATTACTGATGGTTCCAGGCTCTTTTGGGGGTTCTGACTATATTTGCCTGGCATTAGTTTAGGTAGTGGAAAAGAACTTTCTACACAGGTTTTCACTGCTGTCTACCAGGATGTCAGCCCGCTGGCCCTACCTCCTTTGTAGTTTCACAGTGCTTTTCGTGAACTAGTTTATTTCCCTGCTTCCCTTTCTTATCTAATACTTCTAATTAATCATGCTGAGTTCTTTTGCTTCCTTTTGGTTATTCAATCATAGTAATTGAGAAGGATTTGTACTCCTGCCATGTTACTGATGACTCTTCCTAAAAGATTCATCTATTCCCTTATCTGACATTTCTGGTGCTCTTAATAGAGGCAATGAGCCTCTAACAGGTGGCAGAGCCCTTGCCCCTGAAGAACCTAGACAGCAAAGTAAAATACGGACCTACGAATAATGAGATGCTCTTTTCAGCCTTTCCTGGTGATGTATTAAATCACTTTTATGAGTGGCATGGTAAGTACAGAATGAAAACCACTGGTGGTATAAACTTTGTATTAATAGAAAGGGCAAAGGACTACTGTCAGTTTCAGTCCAGTTATTGTGCCATTGAACTTTTTCGGAATGAAAAAGTTTGTGTTTCTCTCATTCTGAGCAAATGACTGCTAGAGTGGAGGATTCCTCCTTGTTTTAAATAATTGTTGAGTCTTTTCTGTCTGCCTGGCCTCCTCATTGGAGCTCAGGTTGACACAATCAGTTTTCTGAAACAGAGAAAAATGCCTGTCTAGCTGGAGCCAAATAATGTAGATCCTGTGTCTGAATTGTCCTCCCAGTGGCATTGGCCTGGCCCTCTGCAAGCGGCTGCTGGTGGAAAACGATGAGCTTCATCTGTGTTTGGCGTGCAGGAATGTGAGCAAAGCAGAAGGTGTCCGAGCGAGTCTGCTGGCCTCTCATCCCACCGCCGAGGTCACTGTTGTGCAGGTGGATGTCAGCAACCTGGAATCAATATTCCGGGCCTCCAGTGAACTAAAGCAAAGGTCTGTTTCTTGCTAATGGATTTTCTCTTATACAGCATAACATTAAATAAAAAAAGAAAGGAAAGGAAATCTAAAAAGAAAAAGGTGCAGTGTAAGAAGGTTATGCTGAGAATATGTATATAGAGTGACCTATTGTGTCTCAGTACCACTTTTTCTTTTGTTTTTTATTTTTATTTTTTTGAGACAGAATCTCACTTTGTCGCCCTTAGTAGAGTGCCCTGGGATCATAGCTTACAGCAACCTCAGACTCCTGGGCTCAAGGGATTCTCTTGCCTCAGCCTCCTGAGTAGCTGGGACTACAGGTGGCCACAATACCTGGCTATATTTTTAGAGGCGGGGTCTTGCACTAGCTCAGTCTGGTCTCAAACTTGTGAGCTCAGGTGATCATCCCGCCTCAGCCTCCCAGAGTGCTGGGATTATAGGCATGAGCCACTCATGCCTGGCTAAGTACCACATTTGTGTTCTCTGTCATCACTATAGTTACTTCAAAAAGACTTAATTCTATATGAAATCAGCACGTTGTACCCCATAAATACATTAATGTATACATGATCTATGTGTTCACGATTTAATTAAAAAAATTAAAAGCTACTTATTTTAATTAAAAAAAAGACTAGTTTATGAGTACACCCTGACGTACTGTTAATCATACTGCCTTACATTAAAGTAACTCCTTTGATAGCTGAATTCAATTTTTACGTCTTTCCTCCATAGAATTCATTAAGTAGGTGGAGCAGGGACTGATAGGGAACCCATCATGCAGTGCACGTTCCTGGGGAACCTGGTAGACGACCAGCTTCTGGGTCGAGGTTTCGTAGGTAGCAGAGCAGCTCCCTCGCTGCGATCTATTGAAAGTCAGCCCTCAACACAAGGGTTTGTTCTTTTTTTTTTTTTTTTTTTTTTATTTCTTTTGCTTTTTTATTTCACAACAATCTTACTTTAGATTTTTGGAATTAATTTCCTGGAAGACTAAACATGGAAATAAGAGTCATGTGTCTGAGAAGGTCATCTGCTCCCTGCTTCAGCAGGGGCAGTTTCCCCCAGGCCAGTAAAGGTTTAGTCACACCTGCACAGTAATTGATGTGTAATAGGCATTTGATAAATACTTGGTGGATGGAGGAATGGAGCGCTTTGATGTCAAAATGAGCACAAAATTGCACCTAGGTGCACAACACATTTTTCTGGGGAAAGAAGGCATACTTAAAAAAAATTTCTAAGAGGAATTAATGATCAAATGTCAAGTACCCTGCAGTACTCCACTGGGCTAACTGGAATAATCAGTTACTGCCCTTGGGCTAACTGGAATAATCAGTTTTCAAATGTTTTTGTATTTGGGTCCTCTAAGAAATAAAGGAACTACTTTATTTCCTTGGACAATAAAATGAAGTATATTAGAAGCAAGGAAGACCTTGGTAAAGACATTTGCTGATGAAAAATACTTTGCAGTTTACTTATATGACTTGCAAGTCCTTTGCATGTCCCTATTCCCAATGCACGAGTTACAAAGCAAAAGCTAGTTTTCTTCACTCAGGCGCCTCTCACCGTGGCCTTGGCCCTTTGTAAATGTGGGTTCTTCCTGTACTGCCGAGCTCTTAGAGTTTTCTGCCACATTATCATTCTAAAAAACTGAGAAGATTTTCTAGGTTCCATTTTTAAATAACTTGGGGTAAGTTCCACATCCCTTACTCCTCCATAACTTAATGGGTCTTTAAGGCCATGAAACTGCCTAGTAATGTCCTTGGGGAGTTAAAAACCATATAATCAGAAGAGAAATGTGAGTTTTAAATCATGTTTGCCTTCTTTTCTCAAATCTTCTTAGTTAGCCTTCTCACCAGTTTTGTATAGATTTAATTATATTTTCTATTTGGCAGAAAAGGTCCTTGATTCCCAGTTACTAAGAGCCATTCCAGTTGGCTTTTGAGACTTAGAATTTTACCATTTATAGCACCGACTATTCTTGCTTCCAAAGCTTCAAGATATTCAATACTTTGTCAAAAGTTTTGTAGTTTAGTATTTAGACAGATACTTGGTAATTTAGCACAAATTCAAGGCAGTAAGGCTCATGGGGCAGAAAGGGGGACTCCAGGGAATTGAATTGTCCCAGCTGCTGTGTCAGCACTTTGGTGCAGATTTGATGTGTTTGTTTACCCCACAAAGGGCTTTTTTTTGAGACGGGTGATATTATCCAAATTCAGGCAATGATAGTTGTAGTGATATTCACAAATTTGGGACTATGTGGAGATGTGCAGAAAGATCCCCTCAGGTTCTCCTGCAGTGGCCCAAATAGATCTCTTTGATTCTAGGTCTGAAGGAAGTTAGAGCTGAGGAAGCTTGAGAAGGATGCCTTCCAATTGCTAAAGCAGCACCACCCGACACCTGTGCCTTTCATCTGTAATACAGTGTTCTGTGTGCAGAGGAAAACTAAGAAATAGTAAATGTAAAAAGAAATAGTGATTCCCTTTAACCCAGAATAGAGCAATTGTGTCAATTATTTCATCTTTGAGAGCAGTATGTCATTTTACTGAAGGCAGAGCTTAGTGTCTTAGATAACTATTTCTTCTCCATTCCTAGCTAAAGATGTTAATATTTTCAGATGAAAGTTTGCAAATTAAGTAGTAGAACAACCCACAATAGAGGGCCCACAATTGTGGTACTTACACGATTAACCGATGGGTAACCATATCAACATCTTAAATCAGTTTATTGATTAGAGTCATTTGGCTCTTGATTATTTATAGGATGATCAAGAAGTGTTAGTGATCTGTATTGGTAACTATGTTGCAAGGTCCTAGCTTTAGTAGCTATGGCCCTTATTATCCTGGGTTATACAGAGGACACAGAGATAGTGTAATGTTTTGAATTCTAGGAGATAATTTTGAATATTTATGGCATTTGTGTCATGAGAGTAGGCTCTACCTGTCTTGAACCTGTTCCAAAAGGGGAACATTTAAATTAAGGCTTATGTACATTTAAGAATGAAAATGTTTTCTCAAGTCAGTATTTCATAATTCCCTGCATGACAAGTATTCATGGTAGGGAGCCTATCAAGAATACCTTACCCCCATTCGCCTTTTATAATCTGTGTTCTTGTGAGCTCTCATCACTTATGATATGCAGCACCTCTCCACGAATATTGAAAGGTTTCCACATGGATCTTTTGTTTTGGTAGATACATGTATCTTGGCATTCACATTTTAGCATTTTAGATCAGGTCAGATGAATATTAATATACATGAAATCTAATTCATGTATTAGGTTAATATTATATTAATAGAAATTTTACTTGTCAACTAGTGGAGATGTGAATTAAAACAAAAAGCAAACAAACTTTCTAAGACCAGAAAGAGAGCAGCTTTAATAGATAGAGGGTTACCGCAGTGCCTGCTGGGGAGGACAAATCTAGAAGAAATTATTGATTAAAGCTTTGACTTCCAAGTCCTTTATGGCTCCCCAAATTCTCTTTGAGGAAAGACAATAAGAACGTTAAAATATTTACTGTAGCTAAAGAAAGTTGTTGAGAAAGAACCATCATCACCCTCAGGTATCATAAATTCTTTTTAGCTTGTTGTGGCCATCTTATTGATTAGAAAATATTTTCTGTTTCTCTTAGGCCTTTTTTCTCCTAGTTGCTCGAGAGGTTGAACACACAATTTTGTCTTGGTATTTTCCTTGCAACTCACAATCTTATTTGGGTGTTTTTCTTGCAGGTTTAAGAGACTGGACTTTGTATATCTAAATGCTGGCATCATGCCTAATCCACAACTAAATCTCAGAGCACTTTTCTCTGGCCTCTTTTCAAGGTAATTTCTGCTTTCTTGATGAATTGATTAGAATGAAGGTGTCTATTTTTCTGCCTAGTTTTGCCCTTGGCATATTAAATTGAGGGATGAAAGGTAAGGGAGTGTTGAGGAGGATGAAGACATGGAACAGTGGTATTGCAACCGCGCTGTGAAAGAACATTCCTTTTTTGTGGAAGACACTGCAGGTCCTGGCGTGGTAGGTCTCCAGAACATTCTAAGTGTTTGGATGTTTTGGAAGGTCAAGTTTGGGTCTTCCTGAATGTACCCATTAGCACGAACACGACTCCAATACCCACGAAAGCTACTTTGGAACCTTTTCCCAACTGTATGCCAGGTTCTCTGAGCAGTGCGGAAATACAGAGAAATAGTATCTTTCCGGGAGATTCTCAGTACACATTAGGGTAGTGGCTTTCAAAAATGCTGCACCACAACCCAGAGCAAGAAATAAATCTCATCTTGCCACCCACTTTTGCTTTACTTCTCTTCCATTAAAACACACATACACACACAAATTGCACACCAGTCTTTATAACATAGCAAGACACCACATTGATATGTTCCATGCTCCAAGAATACCCAGTAAAAGGAAAAAAAAACTTTAACTTTTTTAGCACTTAAACATATTCTGTTCAAGGGAAGATTTTTTTTTTCCCCTTGGCATAGTTATTATTTCCCCCAGAGCAGTTTATCTGTAACCTGACTTGGAAAGTCAGGAAGAGAGATTTTTTTTATAATTTTTTTTTTTTTTT